GTGGGAGAGATGGCAAGGCTAAACTAGTGAAAAAGCCGGAATTATCGATTGTTAAAAAAAACGGTTTTATTATTTCATATGTATTTATGGAAACTTGAAATATAGGCCTTTTAGGGGTCACTTAATTTGTTAAAGAAACAATTTTATATAAAATGGAAGCTTTTGGAATTCTTGAAAGTTTATTTTCCTAAGTACTTAACTTTTCTTCTGATTGCTTGGTACCACTATAAATTTGCTTCACAAATCCTTGTTTTATAGATATTACTAGGTAAACCTCAACCTAGCTTTTATCCCAACTGTAATAAACTCTACTTTATTGGAGTCTGAATTATGTTTTAGTATAACTTAAAAATCTTTGTTATAGGCCAATTTTGATGATCTGTGGAGGAAATTTGTTACATATTCATCTGGTGAACAACTTTTTGGATTGCCTGTGACTGATTATGAGGTTTTACACAAAACCAGGTAAGTTTGGAAAATGTACAAGTATTGCAAGTGCAAATAATTAAATACAGCCCATTAGAAGAATCATGGAGCATCAGATCCTTTATCATGCCTGAGTTGAAACACTCTTAAATTTTCTCTTATTCCTGCCTGCTCCTGACCCATTTGGTACACAATGTCTATAGAGAAAAGAAATATTCTAGGGAGTAGAAAATACATTGCAAAAATTCTGGGCATGCATGGCCTTTATTTAGCCTGTGCTTTATTTTTTTCTTTTCACTATTTTTGAATGGTGTCAGTGATTGGGCAGATGCACTGTGATTTTGGATAACTTTTGTTTATTTAGAGGAATAACCATTGTTGGCTCCCCATCTCTTATTGATTGAATTTATGCTAAAATGCTCTTCCCCACTGGGTAGATATAGAATTTATTGAGACTGAAGGCCAAGGAAGTTACGGATTTTAAACAATGGCAGAACTGGGATTTCATCAAGTACATCTTAATAGAATTTTTGATGTAACTTTCTTGAGAGGCAAAATTAAATCAGAGATATTAGCTTATTAGAGTATTGACTTTAGAAAAGAACTTTATAATGACTTCTTTCAAAGTCATTGCATGAAAATTTCATGGCAAAATAGATGTGAAATTGTCTGAAGATAAATTATCTAATGCTTCAGTGATTTAGGGTAGATGGTTTCTATTCTTTTTCTGAAGCAATGATGCTCCAAGCTTAATCCATTTGACCAATTGTGTTAAAATCACAGGTTTCTGGCCCTCATCCCTTATTTACTGAATTAGAATCTCTGGGATTGGATCCTAGGAAATCTACATTTTACACATTTTCCAGATTATTGTTATGCACACTCAGTCTGAGAGTCAATGTTTTAACCCTTAGTATACCAGGAAAAATAATCATCACCATTTAGATCAGGACCAAAGTACCCTTCAAAAAATTTAAAAAATATTTTAAAGTAATTTTAGGAATAATTTACAGAAGTAAAAATAAAGGGATGGTGAAAGCAATTTTATTAGAAAATTTAATAAGAATTTAAGCATAATAAACTTAAACTTTGTTCCACAATGTCCCAGTTTGAAGATTTATATACACAAAGTGAGGACAATGTTTTGAATGCAACTAACTGCACATCAGCTGTTGTCTTCGTCATCTAGTGCTGCTATAACAGAAATACCACAAGCAGATGGCTTCAACAAAGAGAAATGTATTTTCTCACAGTCTAGTAGGCTACAAGTCCAAATTCAGGGGGT